TCTTGAATATGACGAACCAGACGCTTCTTGGGAAGAAATGAAGCAACTTTTGTATGAAGAGTTCGTGGAAGATACTGGCGACATGCGTCAATACAATCTACAAGTCTACGCCAATCCCGAGCCAAGAAGATGGATTCTAGCAAAACCGAAGGCTACACCTAAGAGAGCTTTCATCCCTAAGCCAAAGAAAGAGACCACACCTGCTCTAAAGGAGAAGACTGAGTCTAAGTCAACATCTCAAGTAAAGAAAAAGAAGTCGAGTGCAATCCCGAGTGCAATTTCGTTGCTTGAACCACACGCTGAACTAAAGCAAGGTAAGTCCTCTAAATCTTTAAAATCAAATGAACCAACATGTTATAGATGACATAAAAGAGGACATTTTGCTGCAACTTGCTCTAAAAGACAAGTAAAAGATGTCACATCACTAGAGCTGAAAGTGAATGCATCTAACTCCAATGATTGTCTAGTGAATTCAAGTTTAGAAATTCCCAATTTTAGATTAATGCGCTTGTCTTTGCCAAAGGTTATTGATGCAGGTATATGTCATAGCATGGATGACACATCTAAAGAACTAGACCACAACGTAGCAACTCTAAAGGAAGTTGAGAATATCATAAGTTTTGAGAAACAACTTTCGGAAACAACAACATCAACACAAGTTTGCCGAAATAAGACGTATGATCAAGCAGCCCTCAAAGGACGTGTGATAATACAGCCCTGTTCAACACCAGCTGATCTTGCTTCTAAGATCATCCACATCAAGGTTGCATTGATACCGAACACCTTACATGGTACACAAGTAAGCGAAACTTATTATCTTGTTCGATATTGGCATTATCTTATATTCGAAAGGACTTTCAAGAACCCTATCCATATCATTTCAATTTCAAGTATAATGCACTTGATCTTGTCTTTGAGTGCCAGTGAAAGTACAGGTACCATGAAGATTTGCGAAGATCAAAGAGAAGCCACAACAATGTTACGGTTACTCTCGGATCAAAGCAAACAAGAAGTTGATTCTGGTCTAACACATGAAAAGGTTCAAAGTAACTTATTTCATTATGTTCATGAACGTCCCTTGACTGCCTTAATACACTTGTCTTGTGCCAAAAGTGTTGAGACACATGTAGGTAATAAGGAGACACATGTGAATCCAAAAGAGGGATCAACAACGAATGATGTTGTGCAGCAATATCAAGAGCTTTTGATATGCGAATCTGTCACTAAAGAGAATGAAATTGTTACCAACAACATCCTGCTGCAAGAAGAACCACCGGACCAGCCATCAAATCAACAAACCAAGTTGATTTCGAAAGATACACTCACCGAGGATCTAAGTCAGGTAAGTAAACTATTACTTCTAATTGTTTCTAGCGATTCGAATGATGTGATAATAAACTTGTTAATCCTTAAAGAGTGTGAGAAAATAGTAGATCTTTTAAATAAATCTATGGAACTAATTTCTTGTCTTAGGACATATCAAGTAGCTGATCTACTTTGTGACATACTTTCTGAATCACTTTGTGGAAAAGAAATGGTTCAATCCAAAATTGGTTTACTTGTTTATATTGATCCCATGACTGTTTTAATGCACTTGTTTCTTGCCCAAAGTGTTGATGAACTTGCAGGTACCAACAAAGAACACATGGAACATAAAGGTGATTCACCGGAAGTGAGGAAAGTCAACGACCAAATTCAAAACCAAAGTGAACCAGCACCATTGATGCTAACACCCTCTATCAAGGAGACTAGAAGAGTTTCAAACTCTTGCTTAATCAAAGAGGAACCGCCGGATTTTAAAGCTCAAGCCCAAACCCGAGAAGTAGTTAAGCAAGCAACACGGCAACTCAAAGCACCAGATCAAAACAGAGGAGTGATCCTATCTTTCTTGCTCAAAGGAGAGCCACCTGATGCACCATGCATCATCAAACCGCCACCCTACCAAGGTAAGACCCTAGCCTCCCAAAATCGAATAAAAGCTAACTTGCTTTCTCTTGGTGCAGATTGTATAGTTTCGAGGTCGAAAATTTTTCAAGGGAGAGGGTATGATGCGGACATCCAAATCAAACCAAACCGGGAGTATACCAAACCAACCGGTACATGTATCAAACCGGTTGATATGGAGCATTTTGGAGGATTCTTGCCCAAATGGAGTCATAATCAAGCACAAGGCCTAGGGTTAATTGTTCACCAGCAAATTAACCCTAAGAAGACTAATGATGGTTCAAGAGGAATCAAAGACCAGCGAGCCGAATCACCATGTTATGGGAATTTGACTGTTGCACTCTTTTTCCCTTATCTAGGGTTTGTCCCAATGGGTTTACCTAGAAAGATTTTTAACGAGGCAACATCAAGTCATCAAGGAATCATTTACCAAGCAATTGATTCGAAGATGTTACAAGTACATATAGCTGATGTACTTGCTGACAGATCGGCTGCACTACTTGCTGAACTACTTTCTGAAGTACTGCGTCAAATGAAGCCAAACAAGGAAATCTTCCTTATTCTACACTTGGACGCACCTCAAAGCTACACATGGAAACCAGGAGAACATCTAGGCTACACAAGACATGTACCACACAAACTTTGGTACACCTTACCACACAAGAACCCGCGGAGTTATTACTTGCCATATATGGAGCCGAAGGAGATCAACTTGCAACAACTCTTTCCTTCTTTATTTGTGCGCTTGTGTGAGAATCTTGAGACCCTCCAGAAGCTTCCAAGACGTCACAACTTCCTCCCCAAGTTGACAAGATACAAGGCACACCTCACTTGCCTTACTTGGACCGATTTTACATTTAAGTCCAATATTTTCATTAATGTTTTGTTTCTTTCTTTGAAGTCTTAGAACGTTGTACTCAGCCCTATATAAGCTGATCATTAGTCTCATTGTAAATCACCCTTGATCATTTTAAAGTAATAGAAACGTTTTCTACTTGTCAAAGTTTGAGTCTTTGTCATTGTTCTGTAGTTCTTTGTGAGTGAGTCACCAAGTACTTCAGGATTCTGCGGATTAAGTTTGTTGAGTGATTCAACATCCTTCATTCGTTCATTGATCGAGTGAGTCGATTATCCCACTGATTGAGCGAGTCAATCACCCTTCTATCCATTAATTCCCCTTGAATCGATCCCACACGAGAGAAGCGATCGCCAGCGTGTCAGATCACCACCTTCATCATCCCACCTTCCGCGTGGCAAGCTTGGAACTCTTGATCATCAAGTGATCTAAAGTTGGAGTGATTCCAATCTTGTATCAGTTGCGGTGGCTTCCGGTTGAGGACGTCCGAGGTGTGACAGATTCTTCTCGCGTCTCACTCTTCTCTCGGGTAGATAAGATAACAGCGAAAGTCAGCAGAGGAATGGAGGGTTGCGATGTTCGTCTGGTGGTTAACGGAAGACTGGCAATCTTAATGGCTGCCGCGGATCTCGGCTTCAGAGGGTTCGTTTGAACCAGCAACCTCTAGATCCATCGTGGTTGGTCTCCACCAGACCAGATCGAAGGATTTTTGCTTGGGAGGTCGGGAAATGGTTGAATCTGGACTGGAGAGGTTAGATCCTAGTTTTGACGGGTTGCTAGGTCGAGATCCGTCAACGTGGAGCCGGTTTATCAAAGAGATGATGATACGATCCTCCCAAGGACTCGGCATTCTAGAGTTGATAGATGGATATTCCTTAGATTCAAAGGGTGATGAAACCACGAAGAACAAGGATGGTGGAGTGAATGGTCGCACAAGAGTTTCGGAAGGCTCTTGATATACCGGTTGATCCCTTGGATATGATGCACCAAGACGGATCGATGACTCCTCGGATATGATACACCAAGACGAGTCAGGTTGACGCACCAAGCAATCGGTTTTGTTCACTAGGAACAGATGAGAATCACTCTCAAAGAATAAATTGTTTTTATAAAAAGTTGGTTGTTTCTCAAATGAGATTACATAGGTTTATACATAGTTAAAAAACTTGGAGACAAATCCAACTAATAATTATTCTTGAAACTAAAAGAAAATAAAGATAGAATGTAGAATAACTTTTGAACTTCATGTGTGATTCTTCAAGTATGACTCTTAAACTTCATTTTCGTCACTTCTCTTTGACCACAAAAATGAGACATTATTTTGGGCCTTCTTGGACTTGTATTAGGCTCAAAGTGGGCTGGACTTGATAGATATCATCACCAATGGACTTTCTCATGTTCTCCTTGGGCATAAGCTCTTGAATTAGCCCACTAAGTGCATTCCTTAGCTGCTTAGCTCTTGCTCGAGTCATTGGTCCTTCCAGCATAAGTAATCATTCTTCGGCTCTAAACTCCTCTGGTTCAAGCTCAGCTACAAGTTCCTCGGGTTCAAGCTCCGCTACAAGCTCCTTCTCCTTAGCTCCATCCATGATCGCATCATACCCCTCCTCTTGAATAGGATTTGACCTCATATCTGAATCATTTGCCACAAAAGGAACCAAATCCGAAACATTAAATTAAGCTTTAACTCACATTGTACTTACCTTGAAGATCAAGTTGGTAAGCATTGTCATTGATCTTTCTTTTAATATCAAACGGTCCATCGATTCTTGGCATAAGTTTTGACTTTATTTCGGCTGGAAACCGTCCTTTCCTCAAATGAAAACCCACCCTTGGTCTCCAACTTCAAACACCAGTTTGGGCCTTCTTTTGTTGGCCTGTTTTGCGTATTGCTTTGTCTTGTCCTTGATGTTCTTCCTAGCTTTCTCATGAATCTGTTTGTCAACTTTCTTTTTCCCATCCAAGCTAACTCTTTCACTTACAGGAAGAGGGGTTAGATCCAACGGAGATAAATGATTAAAACCATAAACGATCTGAAACGGAGAAAACTTGCGTCTATGAATGTTGTTAATTTAAAATAGAAGAAGTGTACATGTCGTATGTTTGCCCTCGACAAACTGTCTTGCATACATGCGATAGCCGCAGCTGAGTCGGCTCATGTATCAACGATTTCAAAGGCCCATCCTTACTATCGCTCAGAATACTTACGCAATGGTTATTCAAAATCTGTAATGCCAAAGGATGAGGCTTGTTCTGTACCTGATTCAGTAACCGGGAAGGTTGTCAATCCACCTTTTATTAAGGTCCAATCTGGGAGGCCGAAGATGTCACGGATTAAAGGTCATTTAGAAGTTGCATCACCGCGCAAAGTACCAAGGAAAGCATATGCTTGTTCTAACTGTGGAAATGTTGGCCACAATCGGCTGTCTTGCAAAGCTTAATACATTTGGTGATTTGAACATATCTCTACTGTGTGTTGGACCAATTTGTATGAATACATTTGTTTTCTCTGTGTGTTGTTGTTTTCAGTGAAGCAATCGTTAATATCAAAAACAGAGTTGTTACAAAAAACAGAGAACTACAACATCATTGGGAATGCTATTGTTCTTAACACATATCATGGAACATATTTGCGTAATTAAAAACTAAGCAATGCTGACAAACAGTTAAATCCGTGTTGTGGTCAAAATAGCATATTGGATACTCTAAGAAATGGATATATCCTGAAAAAACTCTCCGTCCTCCAGGACCGATAAATCTGACCTGGCTTTCCACAACATCTGCAATGTCAATCGCATCTTGCAAAGTTTCAAATCTAGCCATAAAAGTTCTGTTAACTATCATACCTTGTTCATAGGAACCACATCATAAGAGCATAACGACAAATGCAAACAGAGTGTAGAGGTCAGAATAACCTACTTCTCCAAGCATCTCCAACGCTTCAACCGACGGGCCAACTTGAGTCAATCGGCGCAGAGATTCAATGTATCTAGCAGTCTTATGACCTTCAGCTGCGCATCTTAACAAGAATGGTCGGTAGATAGATTCTTCTCTACCAAGTCTAGTGTTAAACATGAATTCATCAAGATCTGCGTCGAGGAGAACTTCACGGGAGTACACAATCTCTTTAAACCAAGGGCCAGCAGCAATGAAAGGACCAAGGTATCGAAATCCCTGACTTCCAATACGTCGGATTATATCTGTTATGAGGGGATTGGGAATGAAGGGTCGTTTTGTAGGGTTTAAATAGTATTGTCTTATTGGGCTTTTATTAAAAACAAATAATCGTGCCCATAGAAATCTAAACATGTGCCGGAAAAAAAAAACAGAGTTGTTAAAAAAACAGAGTTGTCACAAAAAACAGAGTTGTTATAAAAAACAGAGTTGTTATAAAAACAGTGAACTACAACATCATTGGGAATTCCCTGGTTCTTAACACAATTCATTAAAATACTGCTCTCCAAAAAATAAGCTTACACAAAACCCATTAATTCCTCAATCACAACAAAGTCTCCGCTAGATGAGCGACTAACTCCTTCAGTTTTTGGATCTCTTTACCATTACCTTTCAACTCCGAACGCATTTCTTGTTGATAGTACTCCAAGCTTTGAATCTTTTTGTGATGGGTATCAATCTCCTCCCTTAAGTTAGTCACCTCTTCTTCCATAGCTTTATCCCAAAGTTTCCGAATGTGTAAACCATCATTCTACAATACAAGAATTATATATCGAGATCAATTATTCCAAAACAAGAATGATGCTATCTATATCTTGAATTTACCTTATACACGTCGCATTGATAGTATCTCTTCCCTTTGTCACCATCGTTCTCAGATATCCTGACGAGGATGCGTCCACCACAAGGACATCTCTCCGGAATTCCTTCCATCAATCCGACTTTTTCTAGTTGATCCATCTTCTTCTTTGCATTCTTCATCTCATCATACCACGGGTCCCTCTCACACAATCGATCCATATTTGAAACAAGAGACAAAGATTGAAGAGAAGGAAAATGTAGGAGCTTTATCAGAGTGAGAGCGAAATGAACAAACTTTACTTTTATATAATTGCATATAGTAGACAAGATATTAACCTAATCGTTGACGTTTTAGTTGACTTACGACTAATCCGGCCCATAAAAATCCAAACATGTGCCCTAATTTTTTAAAGTCTTCCGGTTGGGCGCCGAGAGATCCCGTCGAAACTCCGTCATTTTCGCTTCCGGAACCTCTGCATCTTCTTCTTTGGTTAGTTTGATTCGTATTCGAATATGATAAAATCTTTGGGGGTGTTGTTGTCAGGAAGAGCTCGAGTTAGAGACCGAACGGACATAATAGCAGAAGAATCGGGGGAAAAGTATTTTTCGACCGGAGCTTCAAATGGTTCTGATGTTGTTGTAAGCGTTCCGACAGAAGCTTCTTCAGATGCGGTTGTAACAGATCCAGTAGAAGCTTCCGATGCTTCGGAATTGGATCGAACAGAGGATCCCGTAGAAGGAATAAAAGGAACAGAAGCTGTAGAAGAAATGGAAGAAGTTGCTGACAAAGAGGAAGAGGAAGATGTCGAGAGAAACATTGATGCTGAGGATGATGATGATTCCCAACCACTGCCACCAGAGAATATGTTCTTCGGTCCAACTGAGTACATCAAGGTCTGTAAGGTAGGAAGTAGGTGTCAATTGGGCCAAACAGTGGCAATGATAGAGGGAATTGATGCAGAATTGAAGTGGTTCCGTAATCATGATCAATCTAAGCACATGTTCCACATGCCTAAGGAACCAAATCATATGTTACAAGGCTTGTGGATGCTTATGGTTCGCACCGCTAAGACGGATATGGTGAGAGAGTGTTGGTTTGTGGTGAATGGAGTGCCTATAAAGTATTCTATGAAAGAGCACGCGTTGTTGACCGGGTTGGCCTGCCATGAGTACCCGAAAAATCTAGAGAAGATTGGCAGTTTGAAATTTGTTATGAAGATTTTTGGGAGGACAGATCAAATCAAAATTAAAGACGTGGAAAAGAAGCTCAAAGAGTTCAAGGATCAGGAGTGTGTTGCTAGAAAGAAATTGACAATCTTGTTATTTTTATGCAAGGTTCAAAAAGCAGATTCAAAAGGTGATGCAAACATAGAGCAATTACTGTTAAGGAATGTTAATAATGTGGCAGCTTGTGAGACATTCCCGTGGGGACGGTACTCATTTGAGCAGTGTATGGAAGGGATCCGGAGAGTAATGAAGAACATGAAAGGGTCAGTAAAACCAAAAGCTCAAACAAGCTTTTATGGATTCATTACCCCTCTTGAGGTGAGTCTTCAAATTATTATGAATTACAGTTTTGAATTAATAATAATATAATGTTAAGACAGTGTTATTTTGAATGTGTAGATTCTGGCTTTTGAGTGCATTCCACAGTTTCGAAGGAGATTTAGAGAAGCTGTACCCGCAGAGAATGATTGTCCGAGAATGTGCATGCATAGGTTCAGTGATAGATGCATGAAGGGCTTTACTTTGGAAGAAATACATGAAGCTCTAGGAGAAACTACGGTTAGCCGTTTGGAACCTGACGCTTTATTTGATTTGGTTTGTTTAATCTATCTTCATTTTGAAGCTATGTTAATTTGACAGGATATTTCAAGTATCTTGGAACCTGATTTAGATGAGAGGAATATGCTGTCTCGCCTCTTAGTGAATGATGTTGATGATGGGATAGGATTTATAGACCCAATAGTTGATAGCTGGAGAGAGCGGCTTATCAGACAGAAGAAGAAGATCTGGTGGGAAAGTCATTACCAAATGGATTTGGATGCAAGACGCAATGCTGATGTCCCTGAAGAAGTTGATGATGTTCCTGTTCCATCTATCCTCTCATTACAGGCCGCGATGGATAAAGGATTTGAGAAGATTGGGGAAAAGCTTGTTGAGATGGACACCAAAATCAATGCTCTGGATATGATAGTTAAGGGGTTAGACAACTATGTTACAGTTCAGAAAGAGAAAGAGCTAGAGAAGGAACGTTGTGAAGATATGTATCCTGGGTCACCAAAAGATTTTGTGCCAAATGTTTATCAGTCAACACATCGTCAGAGCATGGCTTTGGTTATTCACAGTGGAGTTGCTGACCCAAAACCTCCAATTATCCAGCTTTTATGTGAGTAGTTAGGTACACCGTGTACGTTCAAGTTTGAATAATTTGCAACTATTCTTACTTAGTGATTGTCTCCATTTTTGTGAAGGTGATGGGGAGCAGGGGTCTGGGGAAGAGCAGGGGTCTGGGAAAGAGCAGGAGACTAAGAAGAATAAGACGAGGAACCAGAAGCGGAAGCATTGTGGGCCGACAATCGAAACTGGGAAAAAGCGATCAACGAGGGATTCCAAGTTTAAGGAGGAGCCGTATACAGCAGATGGCAAGGGCCAGAAAGGGAAGGGGCAGAAGGGTAAGAGAAGACAAAAGAAATAGAATGTGATTGATGCTTACTGTTAATTTCCATTCCTAGTTGCTTTGCCACCAAAATACTTTCATAACTATTGGTGTTTTTTGTTTTGTCTTGATGAAACTGTGAAAGGTGATTTGGGTAATTTGAGACGCTTTATTTGATGTTCAATTACTTATGAAGTTTGGGAATAGGAATCACAAAATAGTGTATATTACAATATAATGCAGCTGGGCCAACTGAAACATAATGCAGCTGGTCCAACTGAAACATAATAGAAGTTAGAGTATAATATTAGACATAATTGACCCGGTTGTACCTGGGACTTACTTTGCCACTAATCAACAAATTGTAATTTTGCGGATTCTCTCGTTAATAAGAAGTTGTCGGAGATTTAAGCAAATTTGAGTATATTGGGGAGAGAAGGGATACTACAAATTGACGGAATAAATAAAACATTTCTTTATTTAGTGTGGCTGGCCCTGGATTCAGTTCTAGTGTGAACACGAGAAATAGATACATTGTGGGGTCCCTGACATCTATATATTGTACATAGTTGTATCTAGATGTCTTGTTGTCCTCTGGCCTTCATAGTTGAACAAAATGAGATTTGGTTATTTTGAAGTTGAACATTGAAATACAAACTATTAATCTAGTTGTTCACATCAATGTCCACATAAGATGAGTTATTAAGCAGTTTTTATAGGATTTATTTTCACTATGAAATTGTTTCACTTCTTTTGTCATCAATATAGATAATCATGCCCTAATATTTCCTTGTTACACAAAGAATGATTTGTGTAAAAACAAGCTAATGATCAAATGAAACTTATGCATATTTATATATATGCATTAGATTATATATTATACATTAAATATACAACTGAATATACTTTTAAGATTTTCTAAATCTTTAACATGAGATAAATATTTCAAATCTATTGTGATAATTGCTTTTCCAAGTTCAATGCTAATGTCAGTCAATAAGTAATCATCACTTATAGATAATAATGAAATTTTCACGTCTTTTAAGACTCAAACGTTTCATTTTCTGAATATAACTTCCACAACGATTCCTTCGTCCCTGTTCACTATCTTCCCTACATATATTTCAAAATATCTATGTGCTTCTCCACGGAAACCCTAAATCATCAAACATTTTCTGAAAAATCTAAAAGTTTCTTTAACCATGGAACCTCATCACTACCTATCTGATTTGAATGTTCACTCAACAAGATGGTTGGTCCATGTTAAGATCTTAAGCATGTGGAAAGAACCGCTGGTGAATGGTAGGGTTGAGACCAGAATGATCTTGGCCGACGAAAAGGTATAAAGTAACTGGCAAAGGATTGTCTACTTTCACTTTTATACAGATAGTTTATTTGGGATTGAATTACTTATGCATGGAAATTTTTAATGATTGTAGGCAAATAGGATCGACGCAACTATTCCAAATCTCTATTACAACTGGAATTTCCAGGGTTTTCTGAAACCAGGCCTATGGTTTCGCCTATCTGACTTTGAGGTTCTGCGTCCTGAAGAGAAGAAAACCAGATATTGTTGCTTCCCAGTTGTAATCAAGTGCATCGCTGACACTACTATGTGGCCTATTACTATTGTGTGCCCTTACAGTTTCTATGATTTTGTTTATCCAGAGACTGTTGAGTTTGCCCAGGAAGATGAGAAAGAGTGTGTGACTGGTAAGGGATTTTCTTCTCTTATATTCACTGTTAGCTGATCTAAATCTTACTATAAACTCTGATTTTCTGTTTATATTTGTTACTTAATTAGACGCTATTGGTGTTGTCAAGGCTGTGACAACTATAAGAAAGTTTCCTTATGTCTGTCGTCTGGGAGGGACAGATTATGAGTCTAGATATGTGGCGTTCAAGTTAGTGGACATTGAGTAAGTTTCACTTCTATTAAGTTTGTACCATGTGTTGTTAATTATCCTGTCATATGCAAATTTTTTTTAACATAAAAGTATTGTTTGAACACCGTATAGGGCTAAGGAGATCAAGTGTTGTGCTGTTGGTAAGTGCTGTGAGTTGTTTGTAACCAAATATGCTCAACAGATCAGTTCGGTTACTTACAACTATCAGCCTATAGTTGCTGTTCTCCGGGGCTGGCGAATCTCAGAGGTTTTTGGTAAGTTTTCCATCAGGACATGAGGCATTGTAGGTTTATCATTTAAAGGTAGCAAATTGCATTTCTGTATTGGTCTACTTGATCCTTGAACTAACTAAACTAAGTACCGATAATTTTCTTTGTACTTAACTAGACAGCATTGACAATATATCTTCAGGTACAAATGCTTTAATGAGTGAAAATGGTTGTTCCCGTCTCTACCTAAATCCAAGGTTGCCTGATGTAGGTATCCCAAGATACATGTAAGTTTATATTACACATATGAACATTAGACAGAAACAAGTGTTGGCTTATGCTAAACTAACATTTTGTAAATTTGTCTACAGTCTTGATTTCACTGAGAAGCAACGACAGGATGCTGAGGATGTGATGATGGAGGTGGTTGAAGAGAACTAGTACAAGAAGAAGGTGTTTGGTGGAGGACCTAATCGAACCTTGATGTTTTTCTATTTCATGTTTAGGATTGAACTCTGTTTTTTTTAACTTGAAACAATTGTTACTATATTATAATATGGGTTGGCTGATATTAAAAATTGTTACAATTGTCATTAAACCGGGTTTACACATAAACTCAAGACCTACACTCTTCCCCATAGCCATACAATTGAGCAAAGAATAACAGAAGCAACACCTACGGTCTTCTTGATCTTCTTACTCATCGCATCCTCCATCTTCTTAAAGTTTATGTTGTGGAGCTTCATAGTACCCATCACTTCCATCCTCAAAGCATTGACATCCTGTGCAACTAACTTACACTTCTCCTCCACCATCCTAATTTCCTCTAAGAGAGCTTCATCAACCCATTTGAACAAGTGATCCTCATTTTCCCTCTATACACATGGCAGGGATCAATACTCCATTGTCTTTTCAATTTAATTCAACAATTTGACTAAATAGAAAAACGTACCTTCATTGCAATCACGCATCGATAGAACCTCCGGTATGGATTCTCCTTCGTTTTCGATGTGAAACTTGTGATATCCTCTCCACACCAGCATTTCGACGGGACACCATGAGGAGAAAAACATATCGCCGAACTGGCAGCGGATGAGTAGTAGCTGGTTGTGCTCATCGTCTCTGCAATTTCTGAAATTTGGTTAGTTTGGGGAAGAGTTGAGGAATATGAACCCTAAACCCCAATCGAATTTATATACAAGAATGACGTCGTTTTTGGTTTGTTTTGCGAAATAAAGAGAAGAGTCAAAACGCCGTCGTTTTAACTCTCGGGTCATGTGTTATCATACAATTACTCCTAATTTGGTTTGAGTTTTCAACTAGTTATAATATAACAGATATCATCCAACCCTAATAATATAAGCAAGTTTGCGTATATTGGGAATAGACTAGAAACTACGACTCTACGAATTGACGGAATTGTTGAAACATTTCTTTATTTATGTGGGTGGGCCCGGATTCAGTTCTGGTCGGGTCAAACTAGTGTGAACACGACAATTTATATTTTGTGGGGTCCCTGACAACTATATATTGTACATAGTTGTATCTAGATGTCTTGTTGTCCTCATTCCTTCATAGTTGAACAAAATGATATTTGGTTATTTTGAAGTTGAACCTTGAAATCCAAACTATTAATCTAGTAGGTCACATTAAATTCCACATTATTTCCGTTTTTTATCAGTTCTCATAGGAAAATATTCACTATATCATTGTTTCACTTTTTTTTGCATCAATATAGGTAATCATGAACTAGTATCTCCTTGTTACACAAAGAGTGATTTTTGTAAAAACAAGTTAATGATCATATGAAAATAATAAATATTTATATATATATATATATATATATATATATATATTACATTATATATTATATAGTAGATGTTCTAAGTTTATAGATTAAAATTGTTATTAACGTTAAAAGATTATAAATTATATTTTATCTTTTAAAGATTTTAATTACATATAAAATTAAGAATTTAAACTCCTCTAATTTGTACTATGTGAACCAGGAAAATAAATCATACAAATAAACATGGTAAACTAAGTACTTGGCCCAATCGAACCAAAGATTTATACGGTTGGGAAGTTTTAAACAAATATTACAAAGTAGGCTTAGTTGTCCCGGTTGAACAAGGTACACCACCTCACAATTGTCCTTGTTGAACCACGATATCCCGGACGTCTTATTGGGCTTTTAATAATGTATTAGTCTATTAATTAATTGCACGCCACAATAAGACCTGGCCCGTTAAGGCATAAACCAGCAATGATAAGGTGAGTGTAACTGCAGAGACAACCTAAACGTCAATTATTCAGTTTGTAAAAAAAAAAATTAGAAACAAAAACCCTGAGACGGTGGTTACTGTTCTTAGCCGGAAACACCATGGATCGAAGTACTATTTATCATTCTTCCTCCGCACCGAACTCTCCTGCTTCTGAACCTAGTACTCCCATGCCGCCGGATTCTCCCAAATTTGACGTGCAGCGGTTTCATCGGTGGACTGGGCGTTCGCAGCCAGAAGCGGGATTCCCTCTGTCCGAACATACGTCTCCAAGTGTGCAGCCTATATACCCCTGGGATAGAGTCCCAATCAACGGGAACGGACCGGAGTTTCAGCCGGCAGGAAGAGATTTTGTCCCTGGAAAAATTACTTATCCAGAGACTTTTTTCGCTCGTTGCCCACGTAGTGTCTTCACTAAAAACCAACATTGGGTCGCTAGGGTAAGTGTCTCGAACTTGAAAGTTATGGTTTTTTTAACATTGGTTAATTGCGGTTTAGTTGTTTGAGTTGTACCCAAAAAGTGAAGATTTTTATAACAATGGTTAATTGAATTTTAGTTAACTGAGATGTAACTTGAAAGTTAGGGTTTTTTAACAAGTGTTAATTGAATTTTAGTTATCTGAGATGTAAATCCAAAGTTAGGTGTGGATGTCGGATTCACACACTGAAATATTTGTTTATTTAGTGGGAAGGATTATTCTTGAGGACAAAAATAGATGTGCAAAAAGCTAAGAATTGTTATGGAAATGGCTATAGTATATTTGCTCGAAAAAATCGTGTGTCCTTTACATAGCTCTTGCCTCTTACTTATACTCACAAACGACATTTAACTCCTAATTTTTTTTTTTGTGCACCAAATTCTTGATTAAATTAGAAAGTTACAAGATGAGTGAGCATATTTGGACATGACCAAATAGCGAGCTTGAAAATTAAAGTACATGAACAGACAATAATTAAACATAGGGACACAAGTTTGAAAAAACTCGATAGGAGACCAGGAGAAGTGTCGAAGCTAACTATCACAAGCACACCCATGAAAGAAATCGCAAACAACACATAAACATCAACTGGAAATGAGGTAGTCACCATCTCTTGTGACGTTAAGACGAAAGACGAACCAGCATAGGTGATTCGAGTCTGGAAGCAACCAGCAACTGCCTCGAAAGCAGGCAGAGGGGGACCGGAGAAGTATCCGGTATCTTCGCCACAAATGGGCGGGAATCGATCCAACAACGGTGGATCGAGACTGAAGGGAGACACGGCCTGCCTCATACGCGGGCAGGGAGAACCAGAGAAGTATCTAGTGTGTCCATGAAAGAGACCGGAGAAGTATCCGGTGAATCGACAATTGGAGAAGCAGAGGGTAGCGAGTGGAGGACAAAAAGGGCAACGAAAACTTCTTAAACGGCCAGGGCTGGGATTGTTAGAGATGGGCTTTTCCATCCAAAGGCCCAATAGCCAAGAAGTCAACCAACGGCCCATACGCTGCAAGGCCCAAAGCTGGTCACCGACACCACAAGGGATCTCACCGTCGCAAAAACGAGCAGCGGAGAGGAGACTAGATCTCGCCGGAGCCTTAAACAGAGACGGCGGGGGAGTAGCATCGCCAACAAACACGGAGAAGTCTTCAACGGAGAAGGCAGCTGCTGAGGATTGGACGCAATACGGGTGGAGAATGAGGGGGAACCAGTTGAAAGGAGAGAAGAGACAGGGCTGAAGAAAGGATCTCCGGTGAGGCACCGGGAAGAGATTTTCCACAGGGGAAAGCAAGGAGGCGTCGGAAACAACTTCGGCGAGCCTACCACGCCAGATCTGAGGAAGCTTTGTATCAAACCAGGTGGTTTGAATCTGAAACCGAACTGAAAATGCAGAGAAAGAAAAGCCAGAGCAAAAGCGAGAAGAGAATGTCCGACGCCGGCGAGCCATAGCCCCACCGGCGTCGGAGAACGGCGCAAATGAAGAGACCTCGGGAATGGTGCCTGGGAGGATGCGGCTAGGGCGAACTTTTAGTGATAAGGTTACAATCTTCGAGTTTAATGATCAAACGTTTGAATTTGAATTAATCCCGATCTCCGTGGGCTTCGCCCTTTAGCCCAAAAAGTCCCGAACCGAACTAATCTCGACTTCGACTTCGTCCTCATCTCGAGGTGCAACCATTTCGATCTCTCTTCGTGGTGTAACCTCCTCGACCATGTCCTTGGGCTTATAAATCTAACGGGCCTTATCCTTCGCGGGCTTCTATCCTACCTATGTGGCAATCTTTGGTTGGTCCCGAACCACCCGTGCGGGATCCGACACCAACAATTAGCCCCCCAAGTCTTCCGAAGTGCTACTTCAGTTCGGAAGATTTTAATGCTGAAATGACCAAAGATTGTGCCCGAGAATCTTCGGTAGGATCCATTTGGATCTGTCCACGTCATTATTATGCAATAATCCTCTTGGATTTCTAAATACTTCATCGGACTTGACCGGTTGGGAGTTCGATTCAGTTTACTAAAGGAGTTCGATCTTTACCAGTACGGAGTTCGCTCTTATTCAACATACAGTTCGCATAGAGAAAGACCGAAGCGAGGAGAATATTATTAAAGGCTCGCGGTAGCATCAAAGCACGGGAGTTCGGAGTCGGCAAGAAAGAGTTCGGAAGGCCCACGCGAAGCCCAAGACAAGGTTCAAATTCAAGCCGTTTCGGTCAAAATGTAACTTATGTGATTAATGCGGATCAATATGATTACGAGTAGTAAATAGCCGCATTAATCATGTTTTCTCTATAAAAACGACCTCAAACGCATGTGTTTGGGGGAGACAATTTTTTACCTTTTACGATAAAGCAATACAACATACTTTTTCTTTCACAATTTCATAAGGCTTTTTACTATTTTATTCTTATCAAATTCTTTCACTTTATTTGGTTTCTTGGTTACTTTCCTGTTCGAATTCTTATTTTCATCTTTTGATTTTAGAGTTTTTCTCCACAAAAATACTTAAAGACAATCGAGTGTGAATCCTACATCCACAATGATGCTTGGGAGTGGTTTTTTAGGGTGTTGAGCACAGCCGTACCAGACACACCAAATCTTGCATTTGTCTCAGACCGACATTCCTCGATTTACACAGGAATGCGAAGGGTAAGCCTTAAACTCTTTCTGTTACAAAACATATTCATAGATCGTATACAATGTTCTTTCAAAGTAGAAATTAAATTTTGTTTACTTAACATGCAGTAATGAAAAACCCTATGCTTTTATAAAAATAGTATATGCTAAGCCTAAACTATTTTTGTTACAGAACACATTCATGAGTAGTATACAATGTTCTTTTAGAGTAGAAATTTAATTTTGTTTACTTAATATGCAGTAATGTAAAAAACTAGGTTATGTTTTAAAATAGTTTGCGCTAAGTTAAGGTTTCGTTAACTCCAGGTGTATCCGAAGGCTAGGCATGGAGCTTGTGTGGTTCATCTCCAACGAAACATTGCATCCGCCTACAAGAAAAAACACATGCGGTTCCACGTTTCCAGAGCTTTTAGAGCATATAGGATTTGGGATTTTCATTCGCACTTCAATGAGGTGATAAGGTTTGATCCGGCTTCTGCACGCTACCTTGAGTTAGTATGCTTTTGTCATTGGACGAGAGCTTACTTTCTAGGATAACGCTACAACATTACGACCAGCAATGTGGCGGGGTCATTGAACGCGGTGTTGAAGGAAGCACGTGAACTCCCAATCATTTTCCTTCTTGAGTTCATTCGCACAACACTAATGACCTGGTTTGCGATTAGGCGTGAGGTGGCGTGATCTAAAACTTCAGCAATGCCACCAAAGATGAGAGAAGTTGTGCATCAAAACTTTGAAAAGTCTGTGAGATTTTCAGTTAGGCGCATAGACCGGTATGACTATGAGATCCGAGGAGAATGGTCGGGAGTTTTTCATGTAAAGCTTTTGGAACGGACGTGCTCTTCTAGAGCATTTGATTTGTTTCATCTTTCTTGCCCGCACGCAACAGCTGCAGCACTTGTAGAGGGTGTGCTTACCCAAGGGTTAATAGCGCTACAGTACTCTATTGAGAGTTGGAGGATGTCGTACCAAGGGATAATATAACTTATGCCTGATGTAGGAGATGTGTTTCCATTGCCTGAACCAATAGCTTCTCTACAGCCATTCTCCCCTACAACGCGCAGGCCACCTGGTAGGCAAAAAAAAAAGCAGATAACATCACGAGGAGAGTTTAAGGTAAAGTGTTTTCAGTTTTATTTTTTTACAAAGGTTCAAATGTTCCAAATTCTAACAATGTATGGCTTCAGGCAACACAACGTCAGATAACGCGTTAATCCCGTTGCAAAGGCGTAGGACATAATCGCGCCATGTTCAAAATGCCTATCTAAATATTGGAGACTTTGTACAAATGATTTATGTAATTCCGATGCAAGTTTTTGGATTAAATATTCTTTTCTTTTATTTCCAGGGGTACTGGATGTCTCGCGTTGTTGAAATGGGTTATAGGTTGGGGCTGTTAATCAAGAGGAATTCCATCAAGGATCGAGTTAAATCTAAAAAGAAAGCTACTTTATTTTATGTATATAGTAGCATAGATACCTACCTTTCAGAGTGGCGCCTAAACCTATGGACTGAATGCACTCAAGTACATCATGTTGCACTCGGTGGTGGTTTTTTGTTGTTTTTTGTTGATTTTGTGTAGATAAAGTTCGAATTCTCCTTTTATATCCTGTGTAGATAACATCACGAGGAGAGTTTAAGGTAAAGTGTTTTCAATATTGTTTTTTCAAAGGTTTCAAATGTTACAAATTCTAACAATGTATGGCTTTAGGCAACACAACGTCAGATAACGCGTTGTTCCCGTTGCATAGGCGTAGGACATAATCGCGCCACGTTCAAAATGCCCATATAAGGTTGGAGATTTTGTACAAATGATTTATATAATTCCGATGCAAGTTTTTGGATTAAATATTATTTTCTTATATTGCCAGGGGTATTGGATGTCTCGCGTTATTGAAATGAATTATAGGTTGTGGCTGTTAATCAAGGGGAATTCCATCAAGAATGGAGTTAAATCTAAAAAGAAGGCTACTTTATTTAATGTATATAGTAGCACAGAGACCTACCTTTAAGGGTGACGCCTAAATTAACCTATGGACTGAATGCACTCAAATAGATCATGTTCCACTTAGTGGTAGTTTTTGGTTGTTTGTTGATTCTATGTAGATAATGTTCGAATTCTCCTTTTGTATCCTGAACTCATGCTATTAGTGTTGAATTATTTTTCCATGCATTCTATTTTAAAATCGGATTTACCTTTCCACTTGGTTCTATAAAAACCTATATTTACCACATGGGATCCGTTGACCAGTAACAATTATGGAGTTTTGTATCCTGAACCCATGCACTTAAGTAAAAACCCGAGTGTTTAATTACTGTATCATGGGGTTTATTTTAAAAACAGATTCCACTATCCACTTGTTTCTATAAAAAACTACACTTACCACATGGGATCCATCGACTAGTAACAATTAATGCAACCGATTGTATTAATTATTGGGGTCGGATCCCACACATTTTCAGTAGGATCCACTTGGATCTGTCCACGTCATTATTACATAATAATCCTCTCGGAATTCAAGATATTTTACAATAAGTATTGAACTTGACCGGTCGGGAGTTCGATTCAGTCCACTAGGAGAGTTCGATTTTTGCCAGTATGGAGATCGCTCTTATTCGATATATAGTTCGCATAGAGAAAGGCCGAAGCGAGGAGAGTATAGTTCGAGGCTCGCAGTAGCGTCAAAACGCGGGAGTTCGGAGTCACCAAGAAAGAGTTCGGAAAACCTATGTGAAGCCCAAGATAGTTCAAATTCAAGCCGTTTCGGTCAAATTGTAACTTACATGATTAATGCGGATCAATATGATTATGAGCAGTAAATGACCGTATTAATCATGTTTTCTCTATAAAAACAACCTCAAACGCATGTGTTTGAGGGACAGATTTTTACACACTACGATAAAGCAATACAACATACTTTCCCTCTGTACTATTTCGCAAGGCTTTACTCATTTCGTTCTTATCAAATTTCTTTACTTTTTCTTCTTGGTTAATTTCCTTTTCAAATTCCCATATCCATTTGTTGATTTTAAGAGCTTTTCTCCACTGAAATACTTAAAGATAATTGAGTGTGAATCCTACATCCACATTTTGGCGCCGCCTGTGGGGAGTTACCGCAAAACTCTTTAATCTCAAAATCCTTCTTTCCCAACCAAGAAACTATGGCTGAGCAACAAGCATTCAACGATGCAATCGCCTTGCTTAATCAGGCAACCACCAAATTGACCAATCAGATGGGTACACTTGTTGATACCAACACCACTTTTAGTGGAAGGTTGGACTCAATCGAGCAAACCTTGTCGAGTATTCAAACCACCGAGACAAATTTGTCAAACGCGCAGAACGTTGTTTCAAGCTGTTTAGATACTTTGCCTTCTGTGCGGGCAGCAGCGTATCGGCGTAGGCTATTCGTAACTCCCGCACAAAACAGGTCTGGGAATACTCAAACTACTCCGACAGGCCAGCCTGTTAGCAATCAGGCAGCCGTAGGGGATGGAACTAACCCAACCGGGGGAGAAATTCCCCAAGTTCAGGAACATCCTGCTATTGACGACGGATTCCTTATGGAAAATCCTGATGTCACCTTCTCAAATAATTTCAACAAGGTTCGTCAAGAGCTTGACGAAATGAAGTCGAAATTTCATCAGGCAACCAGTTCGGCGCCTGAGATCGATCGAGTAATCGAAGAAACTCGGCGAACACCTTTCACCTCGAGAATCTCGAACCTTCGGATCAAGGATTCTCGAAAGGTTAATTTAACAACTTATGATGGTAAAGGAGATCCAAAAAATCACCTCACTGCTTTTCAGATCGCTGCTAGCAGAATCGATCTAGAACCAGACGAGGAAGATGCCGGATATTGCAAATTATTC